GAGCTGGACTGTACCGGCCGCTGAGCAGCGCTGGGCAACGACGGCAAACGCTGCCGGACTGTTTCCTGCCTTGATTATGGCTGTTTTAATTAACTGCTCTACAGCTGCCTCCATCTTGTTGAGTTTTAATTAAATTAAATGAGCTAACACTTCATAGGCTGTCTCAGGCGGCCGTGGCTGGGGCCGGAATCCTGCCCCTGCCGGGCACATCAGCTCTCCCTCCCCCCTGGGCACCACAGGGAGTGGCAGGAGGGCCTCTGAAGCGGCAGGTCTGCAAGGAGCAGTCACGTCCTCCTTCACGGTGCTGGCATCACGGGGCGCCGGCCGGCACTGGCCATCCTGCCCGAGCCCCCATCCCGCAGCTACCAGGAGGACTTTGGACCAAGGCCTACCGGTCCAGCCATGCCGGCGGCAGATGCCGAATGCAGCTAAGTGGAACCTGAACCTCCTTTCCCGCCTGCCCCATTCCACAAAAACTGAATCAATTATCTTGGCGGGAGCCTCGCAGGCAGATCGATCAATGGGGCGGCACCTCCTGCCTGGTCAAGATGGTATCCTTGCTCCCAGGGCTCCGAGCTGGCTCTACTGAGACATCCAGAGGAGACAGGTGGCCCTGGTGGCCGAGGGATGGCACCAACTCTCCCTGGCTCCAAGCTCTGAGGTCCAGCCTTTGGAAGCCTGATGAATCAGGCCTCTTTGGCCTCTTTCCCTGCCGTCTGGAGAAGCAAAGAGAAGCACAATCCTGGCCCCCTCTCAGGCCAGGCTGGAGGAGGAACTCCCACAGTAACTCTGCAGAGCCCAACACCAGGCTGAGCACGACCCTTGTCCTGTGAGGAGCAGAACTGGCCCGAAGTCTGAGCCTGACAATATCAGGATGGACGGTAAAAGAATCACCGATGACTAGCCCTCACTGCCAAGCTCTCGTCCTGGGCCAGGTGGGCTTGGAGCAAGATCCGGCCCACCCACTGGGTGCCCTGTGCTCAGCCCTGGAGGGTCAGTCCCAGGCTGAGGCCTCCTGTGGCTCCCAGGCACCCAGGCCCAAGAGGGAAGGCTGTGCTGGGTTCGGGCCCCACACCTTTCCTCACGTCTGCGCAGCCCTCTACTCACCTGAACGCAGCTGCTTGATGCGACCATTGCTTGTGGTGGGATCCACGGGGAGGAAGTCCTTGAACCAAGAGATCTCAGGGTCTGGATTCCCGCCTGCTGCGCACAACATGGTGGCCGTGCGCGCTTTCTCCACCACCTTCAGCTGGGGCCCCATGTCGATGGAGGGGAAGCCGGGGGGCAGCTGGTCCTCTGCAGACAAAGAGCAGATGTGCGCGTTAGGGCCAGGACCCTGCTCTGTGGGTGGCTGCTCCTGACTCCCAGGTTGGCTGGGATCCTCAAGATTCTTCTCTCCCCGACCCCTGACTTCCAAGCAGAGTCCTGAGTCCCACTGTGCAGGCCTACCCTTCACAGGGCTGGGGACTGCTGGGGGGCCCACCCTGCCCTGTCGGGAAGTTGGGTTTCCAGGTCTGAGAAGCAATGCCTCAGACTGAAGACGTCAGCACTTCTCTCTCTGGGCCCTGGGAGAAATGAGGATTGATGCTCTCCTGGCCACAGCAGAAAGTGCTACCCGGATGCGGGGACGTATGGGGCTCACAGCTGACTCGGTGGCATCAACAGCCACATTCACCTGGAGGCTCCCTGTGCTGTCCAGCACACCCCCCACCCCCACCTTGTCTGCTCCCACCACTGCCAGCATCCAGCCTTCAGCTCCACCCCACGGCAGAGCCACGTGCCACAGCCTAGGTTCTGGCCCTGGCTCTGAACACCGCCTGCACTACCAATGAGCCACCCCTGACCCTCAATCCTGACTCTGACCCATTCTCTACGACAGCCTTGACCCTGACCCAGCTGCCAGGGGCATCCCACAGGGACTGCGATCCCTCAGGAGATGGGGTCTGGGGATGGGGAGCAGCAGGACTTCCAGCACGGCCTCACCTCCCCAGCTCTCCCGGTATGGAAGCTGGCAGTACGCTTCCCCGCCTGTAGCCCTATAGATTCCAGGCGTGGCCCACGCATCTCTGTGGCTGTAAGTATGACCCCAGAGTCCTAACTTTCAGCTCTGATTTTTAAAAGGAACATGTTAAACAGTGGCAAGAAAAGAGAGGATGGAAACGAGGCAGGTCTTGGGATGCACCAGGCAGGGGAACAGCTTCCTTTAGCTCTGCAACAACTTGCTCTCATAGGAAGGCCCAGGCAGGGCCTGAGGCCTGGGGTTCCCCTCCCACCTTCTCTGTTCTCCCCAGCAGCTGGGGGCACACAGGACGGCCAGAGCCATCCTAGCCCACCAGGGCACCTGTCTAGTTCCTCCCAGACCTCAATCCTCCCTGCTAAGCCCTCCTGAGCAGTGGAGGTGAGGGTGGACAGCAGGGACAGGGCCTGCCAGAGTTAGGGTCCAGGGGTCAGCTGACTCCAACTCTACCAGGAAGGTACTGATCAAGGAGAAGGGAAGAAGTGCAAACATCTGCAGCTCGTGTCCCAGGAATCTACTCTGAATTCCTAACACAGAGAAGGTCTTTGGGATTTACGCCAAATTAAGGACAATTAATTTTCCTCCCTCAATTATCGCGCCCTCAATGGCTCCATCCTTGGCTCAGATCATCATCCCTCAGGCACTGCTGCCAGAGCCTAAAACTGGCATGTGCACAGAGCTGTCCACAAAACAGCAGGACCCCAAAGCCATTCCCTTGTGCCAAGGAGGCTTCCGCTCTGCACCTCAGGAAAGAGAAGTGTGTCTCGCAGGAGGGCTCTGGTCCCTTAGGAGTGACAACTGCTCTCTCTTCCTTCTATGCTCACCTGGGCCCCTCCGGCACATTCATACTGATGATGGGTTACTGATGCCCACTGTGTGCCTGGACAAGCTAAGCACTGAGTATGCTGTCGTAAACTGACCCAACCGCCGACTGACTCATTTATCTCCGCCCCCCCCCCCCCCAGATACCCATAGGAACTGGGGGCCATGGTGAGGGGCAGGCAGGAGAACCACTCAGGCTAAAGACCAGGGCAAACTCCTCCTGCAGATGTCACACGATCACTTCCAAACCCATCAACAAATGGGAAAACTGAGGCCCAGATAGGAGGGAGAAAAGGCTGTGCTAATGGAGCATTTACTACCTTATAGGCACTGAGTTAAAATGCTTTACAAAATGATTTAATCTTCTCCCAAACCCTGAGGTATATAAACCAATGGGGGCTTAGAGAGATCTAGACACCTGCCCAAGGTCACACAGTTTGATGGGAGATGGGGCTGGGATGAGACTAGGTGGTAGGACCAATTGCCTGGCAGGGCTGGGCCAGGGCAGGGCTAGCGGAGGTAAGAGCACCCCTGGGGGCAACCCACCATCATTCTGGCTCACCTCTCCAAGGCTGGCTCAGCCCCGTCCCAAACCACGCCCTCTGCCATCTTCCAGGGCTCAGCCACTCCACTGCAGCCCCCTGCACACAAGC